TGTACCACTGAATCAGTTCTGACTCATAGCGACCTTATATTTGTTTCCAAGACCTGCTGGTGAAGTTGTCCTGCAGACCTTGCAATTACAGTGACCTACCAGGGCTCTCATCTAGATTTAAAACTACTAGTTTCCTTAATCTAAGGCTCTGAAATAAACTCTAGCTCACTGACTATGCTAGTTCCTCATGGTGGCTCTTCTGTTGAAACATCCATTGCAAAACACTGGGGTGGAAAAGACTTTCTTAAACAAGACTGGCTACTCAGAATCCAGAAACTAAAAGACTGAGATATTCAGCTTTTTAACTTCTAAATGGAAAAGTCACTACAAAGACAGCCAACACTAACAGGTTATAGAAAAGATTTTAAATATATAATAACAGAGCAATATCAATAAACTTAAAAAGAAAAGCAAAAACAAACAATAAACCTTCATAAAAACTGATATTTTAAAAAGATAACTAAAGAAAAAAAAATGGGCAAAGTAGGTAAAAAAAGTTATTCACAAAAGAGAAAATATAAGTGAATAAATATGTGGCATTGAGTTATTACATGTGGAAAACACGGAGTTCAATTCATGGCCAAAGAATCACGTGCATCAGTGGAGGGCTATATGTTGCTGCGATGGTGAACATGGAGCGTCCAAACTAAGATGGATTAGGAAAAAAGGCCTGGTGAACTACTTTGGAAAATCAATCATTGAAAACCATGTGGACCACAATAGTCCAATCTGCAATCGATCTTGCTGACAGGCAGCATTTTGCTCCCTCATCCATGTGGTCACCAGGAGTCAGGGGTCAGCTCCCTAGTATCTAAGAAGAGTAACATAAACATTTGAAAATATACTAATCATCACTCTGGTCAGAAAACTGCAAAGTAAAATAATGGTGGTCTATTTCTTGAGCATCAAATAAATACATATTTTTTAAAAATTGGTAAAAAACAATGGGGGTAAAATTGTGAGAAAATAGTTCCCCTTCTAGGTGTTGTTAGGTGCCATCGAGTCAGTACCGACTCATAGCAACCTTATGCACAGCAGAACAAAATATTGCCTGATCCTGGGCCAACCTCACTACTGTTGCCACGCTTGAGTCCACTGATGCTGCCACTTGAAGAAAATGATAACAAGTCCAAGAGAGCCAAAATATGACCTTGAATATATTTCACCTGAATTTAGAGATCCTCTGAAGAACAGTTTTGATACATTAAACACTAAAGACCAAAGACCAAGAGTTGTGGGATGACATCATACATGAAGACAGCAAAAAGTCATTGAGAAGACAAGAAAGAAGGAAAAGGTCAAAATGGATGTCAGAAGAGATACTGAAACTTGCTCTCCAGCGTAGAGAAACTAAAGCAAATGGAAGAAGTGAGGAGGTCCAAGAGCTGAACAGAAATTTTCAAAGATCAACTTGAGAAGATAAAGCCAAATATTACAACAAAATGTGCAAAGATCTAGAATAAGAAAACCAAAAAGGAAGAACATACTCAGGATTTCTCAAGCTGGGGGAACTGAAGAAAAATTCAAGCCTCGACTTTCACTATTGAAAGATTCACTGGGAAAA